GGTGCATGCTTTGGCAAAACACCTGTTCCAAACTGTTTGAAACTTTGATTGCTTTTTATATGATTTTATTTTTTGAGAGTGGCTTTCTGGCAACTTTGGCAGCGTCTTGCCAAATGTGTCAATAATTGACCTAAAATTTGTCTAAAGTTTTTTAAAACTTGCAGCAAGCTTGAAATATAAATGCAGATAAGACCCTGAATTAGTTGGTTGTTATTATATAATTCTATAAGTTCAAGTTGAAAATGTTTTCTGTAATTTGCCGTTTGCAAACAGAAATTTAATTTAAAGCCAACAATAATTCTGATGCTAAATATATGCAAAGCTAAATATAAGAGAATGCCACTTAAATGGTATCTAATGGCTTTAATTGAAGCTCACTTGCGAGCATAACTAATATCAATAAAATAACAACTTATGTGACAATTTAATCAAGCTGAGTTGGCAGCTTGGCGCATAATTCATCTAACCAAACATGAAATCAAGTTTTCAGCATTCCAAAACATAATTAAAGCATTTTAAAGATTAATTAAATTTTTCGTTGGAAGCATTAAAGTGCTGATAATAAATACAAAAATATAATTAAAATATAGCTGTAAGTTGTTCTTGTGTCCCTCATGCGGAATACACAGACCTGCAGCAATTATGAATTCCATTCTAGTTCGGCAACTTAAGGGCTCCCTAACTCTCATTCATGCAGTTATCCATTCATTCATTTATTCATTCATTTTGTGCTCTAAGCTGATGGTCCTGCCATTCCTGCAGTTACTGCTGCTTCCCCAGCAGCATTCCAATGCGTTAGAGTTTTCTACTTTCAAACTCTTCATCTTGCCATAAATTTGTATGCAAGGAGTTTTGGATCGCTTTTGTGGCATTGCAGAGCTCAAGCCAAACACTTACTTAAAATTTTGAACCCCTTTTCGGATGCTCAAAAATCGTTTACAGTTCAGTTTTCAGTTAGCTTCACTTTTAGTTCACTTGCACTCATTTTGTGCTTGCTTTTCTACTGTTCGCTATTGTTTTCCTTTTAGCTTATTCGGAATTTTAATATAAGTAAGCCAAGCCATTGCCGGTTCGAATTTGTTGTTGTCGCCCAACAATTTCTTGGGCAAGAAAGTTTTTTTTATCTACGACCAAATAGTTTCCGACTATTTCGCCATCAATTTTATTGGTAATACTTGGAGAAAAGTTTATCCAGTGTGGGAATGCGAAGAGGACAAATCTAGCTGTTTTAAATTAAAGGATTCAAAGCGTTAAACTTTTGTGGGCCAAATAAAATGAAGTATTAGAAAAGCGTTTGAATTTGATAAATTGGGTAAGCGAACTGCTCCAAACACTTTACTACCCACAAACTAATAAAGAACTTGTGAGTGCAATTCCGTTTTGATGTGTTGCCTTTTGTCTTTTGTAATTGTAATTACTTTTGGGACACAGACTGCCTCGCCCCCGACTGGGAAGCCCTATAATTGTGACAATTGACTGCAAAAGTTGCCAACTTGTAATTATCACTTACGAGCAACCCTAAGCCGGAAGGGGTATGAGCTTACCCATAGACGCATGCAGCTTAATTAATAGACAGAATAAACGTTCCGTGAACCGAAATCTGCACACAATCCTTCTTTGGCTTTTGCCTCCATAACATGACGCACAGAATTCCCTGACCGCAATAATAATTTACATTTTAAGCCAATTCTGGAAACGCTACAACAATAACAGCAATAACAACAACAAGAACAATAACAACACCGACAACAAAAGAACATAACGAAAATTTTCCATTTTCACAGTTAAATAAAAATTAATTACAACAATTTATCGTCGTCGCTGCGACCGCACTACTAACACACAAAAAAAAAAAGAATGAACGTCACAAACGCAACGTAACGAATGAATTACAAGGCATACAAGCCTCCAGGACAAATATCCCATTACCAACCAGCACCCACAACGCACCTCACCACCAACACCACCCCCACGACCCCCCTCCCCATCCTTGTTCAGTGCACGCCCCATAATGTGCGGCTTGTTGTTGTTAAACGTTGCCGGACGTCGCTTCGGTCGAAACTGGCTAAAACGCCAAATGTTAAACCCTTTTGTTAATGCAGAATAATTGCTACGGTTCGGGGTGGTCCCAGTGCCCAACTCTGAGTTCCGAGCTCTGATGTTGCACGCCAAAAAAGTCAGAGAGCAACGGTATTTTCGTCGTTTTTTTCCGCTTTTTTTTTCAGTTGCTACCGCTTTCTGTTTTTTCTGTCTCTCGAAATTAGAGCGACGGGCGACCGGGCAAAAGTGGGCGTTTGCCGAGTTCCGTTTCATTTAGTTTTCAGTTTCCACCTAATTTACCCAATTGGGTAAAAGTGCTTTGTCATAATCAGCCCGGGAGCAGGGTTCGCATATCTAATGAATGAGGCCCAAAACGAACAAGGAATTGTCGGGGGGTTGGGGGTAGGCGCCATAAAGCAAACTTTTCGCATGCCAAAAAAATGTTGCTTTATTGGAATGGGTCTATTTGCTCGGCAGCTCTCCGCTGGGCACATATTTATCGAGTTGCTAATAGGCTGTCACATAATTAGCCTTATAACAACACAATCGCCTGTCCAGAAAAGGTAACCAATACCAGAGACTAGAGAGAGAGACATCAGCAGAGATGGAGCGAAAGGACATTAGCATTAGCCAGGATAAACGTCAAAGATGTTTACGATAATGTCCGGCCGTATCGCAGCCAGCGACTAATGCGCTTTTCACAAACTGGAATTGGATACGGGCCTGTTTAGGGTTAAGTTTTATTTGAAAGACACTCCAATGCGCTGTAAACTGATTTATCTTAGATCTAAGATAAACGAGAAGCAATCCGAGACCCTAAAAATAAACGAATTTCTTACAGAATAAATTTTAGTCGAGGATAGCTCCCGATTATATGCTGCTGAAAGTTTCGCACGTGCTCACTATCTGAACAAAATAGTATACGAGTATCTACCAATTTTTCTTAATCTATTTTAGCTTGTTGTTTACAAATGCTAGTAACGAAACTACCCCTACTGTGTTGAAGGCAAAAAAGTTACCATCTACTCGAGCCAAATGTTCCCTCCCAGAGGTGTCATCAAATTACAGAAAGTGACTTTGAAAAATGGTGTGAAAAACGAGTGCAAGAGAATGGCCATTAAGCGAATTTTACATGGCTGTTGCAATTAACGTGGCCGAACAACAGCTGCAATCAAGCAATAAATATTCGATATTGCGCGATGAGAGTCGATGATTTTTGTTTCAACGCCTCAATAATTCGAAACATTTTTTAAAAACTCTCAAACAGAAGAGAAATACAAACACAAACTGTTAAAGGATGCAGCATTCATAATACGGACACGGGCAAATATTTGTTGCCATTGGCCAAATGCAAAATGCAAACGCTGACCGTGCTGTAAGTTGCTACAAGTGTGTGTGTGTTTACATATGTATGAGCGAGAGTGTATGTGCCATGTTGCTGTCTAGGCCAATGGCCAGTGCTAATTGCCAATTATGGACAAATGCGTTCGTGCGCGAAATTAAATTAACCCCTTTTTTGTTTGACACCAGCAGCCTGTCCAGCTGTCCTTCGTGCAGCAGCTTCTCTTCATCCTTCAGCATGTGCAATCCTCAGTCGCTTGTTACCAAGTGCCTACCATGTCATCAATCAGCACAGCCACAGGACATGGACAAAACACAGCTACGCGATGCGCAAATATGAAATATATGTATGCTCTCACAACCAAAACCCGATCAAATCGAGGGGTATATGCAACAACGGACACAGCTGGTAACAGGAGAAACAAACATTTACTAAATACATAAATTGGCTAATACTCTCCGATAGGTATTTCTTTCTTATTATGCATATTTTTCCAAACTAAAGACTCAGATTGGAAAAGTAAAACAAAAGATTGAGCTGTGCACAGAACAATTTACAGAGGTGGTTATAAATTGAGGAACGATGCTTTTGCCAAACAAAATAATTATAAAGAAATATATTAAATAAATAAAATTTTAAGTCTATAAACATAAGATGCAAAACTTTCAGTTTCTACAACTAATTGATTGAATTAAAAATAATAAATTAAGAGTAAAAACTCTAAACATTTTTGTATAAAAATTATAAGAATCGTTAACATATCGAAAAAATAATGGAAAAAGGTCAAACAATAAAATTGTTTGCTCTCTGAAAAATTAATTTCTGAAGATGAACATGAATATATTATTTAAAATTTAAGTTTGCACATTTGAGTGCGGAAAGATCAATTTAAAGTCAGCTATGGGAATTGAATTTTGGTCGTTTTTGTCTGTGGTCAACTGTCAACGTACATATCGCGGTGCAATTATTAAAAATTGACTGATTGGCACTGGTTATATGTACGTGTGAATATACATAAATACATTGGCGTAAAAAACGAGCAAATAAAAATACAAAAATATAAAAAATCAACAACAAGTCAACACCCATATGAATTAAATGGCGAACTGAACGAACCGCATTTAACCACATTACAAGCGCGCATTAAAAGTAATACAATTTTGAAACTTTCATAAATATCGACTGACATTACAATTTATTTAATTTTTTTCCACAACACCCCCCCTTTGCCATCTGTACGCACATATGGTGCTTATACGAGTTTTCGCCGAGGCTGAAAAAGCCTGTCAATTGCAAAAATGAAGAATAAATGAAAATAACAGCACGCGTCGTGTCAGATTTTTCGATGTTCAGATATGATAATGCAAACAATGAGAAATGTTGTTTTTTTTTTTTACCATTGTCAGAAGTTCACAGCTCCAACCACTTACTGTGAAAAAAGTGTGCTTTAACCATCAATAACAATCTTTGTCACTGAAATGTGAATCCGACCATGTTTCAGCAAAGCTTTTTGAGGCTTTTAGGAAAGTCGAAGAATATAAATTTTATAGAAATGTGGAAAATGACAGTTGTATATATAGTTTTAATTGATTAATTAAATAAATACATTTTAGCACATGGAACATATAATTATTTAATAGGTTTTCAAAACCACATCTTTTTTATGTATATTAATAAATGTTAAAATTATTTGCTATTCATATTTATCTTGTTTATTATTGGGAACTGCAGACTCTTCTACGTGCTCCTCTTCTCCCTCCGATATGGGTTGTGAACCAAGGTCACTACTGCGTGGTGATGGGGGACGTAATACCGTAACCTTATAGCGTCCTGATGAAGAGGGTCTCTGATTGGAGCGCATATTAAGGAATCGATGACGCAATCTCTCGCTTCTCTCGCGATGGCGCTGCTCGATTAGCTCCTCCAAGTTCACTGCAATTGTGCACAGGTATTTTGGAGCTTGGATTAGTTGTCTTTTGAAGATTTTATCTTATACTTTGTCACTTACAGCTTGCTGCTGGTTTCACTTTCAAGTTCGAGTTGATGTCGCGGAAGGTTACGCGAGAATTGTTCATGTTGTGGTTGCGCATGCGTAGAATTTCAGAGGTGGACCATGAAATAAAGGTGCTAGTTGAGCCGCTGCGTTGCATAACATTTTCAATAGCTTTTCTCGACTGAAAAAATATGTTTTTAATGTCGCTCATTAAAACTTTGTACATTTTTTTCCACACTCATATGTGAGTTGTTCTGTGGTGTGAAAAATGTCCAAAGCAATATCATATATAGTTTAGAAAATATCCACAGTTTTAAGCATTTTACTCACTGCTCATGTACGACCTATCGGAAAACTTAATTAGGATACCAAACTATTGATTTATCGTACCTCAGCGACAGGTGTTTTCGATGCAACCAGTTTGGCTGTGGATGCTTCTGGCGGTCCCTGACGCTTCGATTCGTCGGTATAAGGTAGCTCATTGGGGAACACTTCATCCCAGTATTGATCTTTGAGCAGCTCCGGATGATCCTGATGCATCTCATCTACAATCAAATAGGACACAGCCAGATTGCGATCAATCATCCAGTTGAGCTGCAAACCAGTTTGTAAATTTCAGGCTACACAAAATGCAATGCTTCTGCGCTTTTACCTCGAAATCGTCATCATCTTCGCCAAAGGGATTAATTAGGGACTCGGCTACTTTCAGCCAGCCCATATAGAAGAAGAACTGCAGAACCGTCATAATAGGAAAGTATTGATCTATTTTATTTGTGGCTGTGCGACTCCTCGGATTCTCAATCCACTGCTGGCCAATGACGCTGCACAGGAAGAACGTGTAGGTGGCCAGTGTAACCACCTGCGTGTAAACCAGGGGCACACTGACCCAGTCGTAATACAGCAGAAATCCGCATTGGCCTCGAAAGTGGTTCAGCTCGTCGATAATCGATTTGACCGCATAATCATCGCGAATCTTATTCTCCTTCCGGGCCCGCATCACAATGCTGGCGGCCCAGACGATGGGCATCCAGTGTTTGGGATAGTGTGGAAATGCCAGATCCAGCGTCGCAATTATATTCTTTTCGTTTTCCTGCAGCAGACCCGCTTCGATGATCTGATCGTAGGTGGGGAAACGCTTTTTAACGCTGGGCGATATCATTGTGAAGACAATAACCTGACACAGGCACACATATCGCAGGATTGTGCGTCGCATGGCCCGGGCACGATCATCGAAGCCATGCACACTGGAGCTGACGAGTGTGGCCACCGAATCTGGCCATGGAATGGTCGTATATTGCGCCCACCAGCGCGTCATAACAATGCTCACATAGAAGCCCAGCACAAATGACAACGGTATTAAGCTGGCATGGGTGTAACAATAGGTCGCCACAGACTCAAACGCCCTAAATTTGGTTAGGAGAGTGGAATGTAGTCATAAAATTTTGTAAATACATACTTGCGTGTTGCATCATTCATGAACAGTCGATATGTTATAGCCAGTATCAAATATAAACCAAGAAAAACAATCAAATCCGCCCAGACTAGTTTGTAAATACTGCCACGCCACCTGTAAGAGGAAAAGTATTTACGATTATTTTATTTAGTCCGGATCGGAAATGAAAATAAGAATACCTGAATAGCAATCTCAAAAAATTGCTCAAAAGCCTTGAAGTGCTCACGTTAGCTGTGTATGTTACAGTCATGATTGAGCTCGATACAGGTCTACAATAAGCCAAATGATTTCAATCAAAGTAAAACGCAAAACGCCTACTTCATTTGCACCCAATTTTTGTTATTTAAGTTTAAAATATCAAGACATTATTGGCATGCAAAAGAATGCTCATTTATAAACTTCATTATTTGTTTTCTCTAATATTTAAAAGAATATTTCACTCGAATTTACTTTTTAACAGGACTTATTCGATTTATTATTAACAAAAAGTTGTCCGCACAATAACTCATCTTGTCAGCTTCCCCCAAATTCGAGTTAACGAAAAGTATTTATTTATTATATGCAATAACAAGTAACATTTCCAGCATTTTACCTGGTTAACTGAATGTTTCTTTTTTGCTTGGCGTTTGAAGCTTTAATGGAATGTTCTTTTTTACTTTCGTTCGTTAATAAAACTTTTGCTTGTTTGCACTTCGTCATCCATTTTAGATTTGTCTGTTAATTCGCTTGGTGGTGCTGTACTTTTCGGAGAGTTGCTTGGTAACAAATGTCCCGATTCAGAAAGATTGGTTAGTTCGCCTTTGAGCAGGTCAAAGGTGATAGTTGCGTGCTGCAATTGCCTGGCGTGCCGTTCGCGTTCACGCTCTTCTTTCAGGCGATCAAAGTCATCCTTGCTGGTCTCGCGAGTTGGGGGCAACTCAAAGAACTGCTCTTCTTCGTCACCCTCGTCTGGAAAATTGTCCGGCTCCAAGTTGTTCAGATCGAAAAAGGAAATGGACGAGGAGCTGACATGGATATCAAAGCGACGCGAAGCAAACTTAATGCGCAGCTCGCGGCCATCATCCCCGTCACCATCCTCGCCATCAAATTCTGTGAAATCGAGTTCACTGGTCGTAGTCGGTGTTTGTTTTGGTAACAATGAGGATGTTATTTTCGACAAGTCTAGCTTGGCTGTGGAGGCTTCGGGTGGTGCGTGACGTTGGGACTCATCAGCATAGGGCAGCTCATTGGGAAAGACCTCGTCCCAGTATTGATCCCTGACTAGAGTTGGATGATCGTTGTGCATTTCGTCCACAATTAAGTAACTAACTTGCAAATTGCGATCGATTACCCAGTTGAGCTCAAAGTCATCATCATCATCGCCAAATGGACATATCAGCGTTTCGGCGACTTTTAGCCAGCCCACGAAAAAGAAGAACTCCAGCGTGCTAAATACGGGAAAATAATAATTGACAATATTGCAATCCACCTTATTGATGTACTGATGCCCAAAGATGGCAGCCAAGAAATATGTGTATACAGCCAGAGTGACCACCTGAGTATAAACCAGCGGCACACTGATCATATCGTAATGTGTGAGCATATTGCAGTCACCACGGAACTTGTTCAGCTCATCGATCATGGACTTGAGAGAGAAATCATCCCAGATGCGTCCCTCTTTCCTTGCACGCGTCATAATGCTGGATGCCCACATGAGAGGCATCCAGTACTTGTAATGTTTCGGAAACTTCTCGTCCATTTTGGATATAATCAATGCCTCATTCTTGTTCAGCAGACCAGCCTCCACCAAATAATCGTAGGTGGGAAAGCGTCGCTTAATTACCGGCGATATCATGGTCAGCACCATTGTCAGAGATAGGCAAACATATCGCATTATGGTGCGACGCATTAAACGGCCATGATCATCCTGGCCACGCACCAGGGCGCTGACATAGACCGCCAATGGATCTGGCCAGGGCACCGTGATGTACTGACTCCACCAGCGCCCAACAATGATGGCCACATAGAAACCAAGTACAAATGACAGTGGTATCATACCACCGTAGCTGCGACAGTATTCCACAAGATCATCAAAAATGCTACCGATAAGGTTGAGGTCGCGATTAGATTAGCACTAAAACAGACAGAATTTCAATTACAGTTTGGTTGGGTCATCGAGCACAGTGCGATACAACAAAGCCATTGCATAGAAGGCAATCAGGAATACCAATAGATCAGCCCAAATTATTTTGTAAATGCTTGCGCGCCATCTATCGGTTATTTTTTGCACATATTAGTCATAATTCCGAGACAGAGGCAAAGGCATTCGGCTTACCTGCCCAGCAGCTTCCAAAAGCAGCCGAATCGGTGGCACGTAGCAACCTGTGCGGTATAGGAAACAGTCATGTTAGAACAGGTTCCTCAATTAGACCCACAGATAAATCAGCTGAAAATAAATCAAAACTGTTAACTGATCCAAATATGTTTTACCTGGCCTACTAAAGTTTCTCATTCGAAGTACGAAATGATATGAGAATTTTCAAAAATGTTATATTTTAAATTTAAGTTTATATTGAATATGTTTCATATATAAAACTCAAGTTCCTTTCATGTTTTTTGTAAGCCAGCATGTTTAGGTCTTTTTGATGGCATCTCGCTTTAAAATGTTTACAAGTTATACAAGTTTGCTTCAATCACTTTTGAAGTTTCAAATTATCCTTCTAGTTGTTAATACCGAAACAGCCCTGTTTGTCCTTTGCCAGTTTATTTCGATGTCAATGTGGCGTTAAATGAATGAAGGCGGCAATGTCATTTAGGGCTTCTAATATGTGGGCGTAATTATTTAAATTAGATCATTTATATTTGCTGGCGACAACAAAGGCAATCACAATACCAATTTGCAATCTCAGCCACATGTGCTAAGCATTTCCGAAAACTCCCAATGTCCCCGATGCCCCCCGGCGCCCAAAACATTCGACAAGTATCTGTGCGTGTCTGTGGGAATTTACTGAGTAGGTAGCTTCATCAGTGGCAGTAAAATTTTAATGCCCCTACAACGCGTGCTGCGTGATTTAGGCCCCCTGCTCACTTGGTGGCCCTCCTCTCAATCATATCATGTGCTAAGAGTGAAAGTGTGAAAAGCATTTTGAGTATCTTATCAGCCCAGGGAGCATATATTGTTCGATTACGATTATTAGTATGAGTATGACTCTGAGAATGACTAGTTGTATTAGTACTCGCACTCGTGTTGTTCGATTGTGTATTTTATAGATATTGCTACGTAATCCAATATATACCGCATACTCTGCACGAAAGAATGTAAGACAGTATACAAAAAAATCTTTGACAACGTTCATTTTGTATTTTCCCAAAAATAAGTTACTATAAAACTAGAATAGAATTACTCAATTATTATTATGATTATTTAATTTCTGGCCTATTTTGGAATTTCACTACATGTATTTATATTTGCATAATTTTTGTTTTTCCAAAAATAATTTGTTATAAGCCGACTATAATTTCTGACTTAAATTCAGATTCATATATATTTATTTATATTTCTCATATTAAAATAATAACGTGTACACTTTAGTGAATATTTGACAAAAATAATAAACTAAAAAAAAAATTGAATTAAGCTTATAGATATTTTACAAGCACACTTTTTTCTCGCTGTGTACAATCCAAATGTGACGCATAGCTCTAAACGCCTGGGAGCGGCCATAGATCGCCTCGATTTAATAGTACTCGTAATCAGTTTATAGATAATTTAATAGTTGCTAATGGCGAGGTGTTTATCACATGTATGAGAAATGATTTTGTTTCAGCAACAACAGTTGGAGGCCTGCGTGTATTAGTGAGTCCCAATGGACTTGCTAATTGCTTGCCTCAGTTTAAAAAGCGCAGCTACAAACCACGACGACTATTTCAGTTCAATTTATTATAGTTCTCACAATGATGTAATCTAGAGTTTACTCAAATGCTGTTATCAATAATCATAAATAATAATTATTATTAATTGTTGTGCATGTGTTTGACACTTGTATGGCTGGGTGAGTAAGTTTGCACAATGCACTTCAGATTATCTTTATCTGCCAACGTGAATGAATTGCAGTCTAGAAAAAACTTAAATTCTATATAAATTTAAGAAATACATTTTTAGAAATAGGCAAACAACATCTTAAAGAATATGTATAATGGACAGGCTACAGGGTTATTTTTGGAACTCCATTTCGGATTTAGTGCTCGCCGCATTTGAGTCCATAAATTTCATTCAACTCACTGCTGCTTGACCCATAAACTAAAATAAAACAAATATTTATGAACCAGTTAAGGTTGTTATTTAAGAGCCAGATCTCTATCTTTCTCCCGCTCTCGTCGGTGACAGATATTGCAATATATTCATTGTTGCTGATCCTCCTGCTTTTTGTAATTCTTGTTGCAGTTTTCATTTAACGTTATTTGGCGAGAGCGTTAATAGCAGCACTTAAGGCGTTAAAGTTGTTATTTAAAAGCCAGCTCTCTATCTTTCTCCCGCTTTGATATTCGCTGCTGCTGACTCTGCTGCTGTTGTTTGCCATATGAGGAAGCGATTATTTCTGCCGCTTTCAGTTAGCGTTGTTCGGCGAGAGTGTTAATAGCACCAGCGAAACGCGTCGGAGGCATTGCGGAGTCGTCAAATCGGAAATAAAACTACAGTCAATACGAAAAAAGAACAATCTTATCTGAACAATATAAATAACATTAAATGACAAGCGCATACCCCCTAGACCAAGCGGGGGGCTGCACCTGCAATACCAGCTGAGAGTTCTAGTTTAAATCGCAGTCGGTAAGATCGTAAAAGTGAGCATCTCCCTGAATCGAGACGAGATGTTATCGACAGAGTATCTGTCGGACAACAACCTGCTAATTTTCATAGTCGCTCTAATTATAAGCCCCTTTGTGAATGTCGCTCGAGCTTACCTGTATCATTTTATAGTTTGTTTGCTTTTTTCTTATGTGTTTTTTTTTTGTTTACCGCATTCTCTCGTTTTGCGCTCTCTAGCGGCACTTTTGTATCTCTTATCAGTGTCTGATGCTCGCTGCTTGTCGTCTCACTCACTCCTACCTTTTTTGCTCTCCCGCTGTTGTCTTCTTATCTTAAAGAACCGTTCGAATCCGCGGCTGTAACCCAACGTCCGACTGGCAGACGCATTCAGAACGTGAACTCTGCCAGTTGTGTTGTCGTCGGAGGCGAATTGAATCGCATTGAATACACTCATATTCGCACTCATATATATTTATCGAGGCTAACTGGCTCGTTACACTCAAAGCAAATATTTGGACAGTGTTCAAAGCAACTGCAGCAGTCGACAACTGTTTAAAACTAGGTAAGTCAACTTATGCAAATCGTACTAAATGGAGTAGTAAAAGGGGAAAAATCAGACAATATATTGTTATATAAGAATCGCAGATGTACATAATTCTTCATTCGACAATGACAATGGTTACCTAGACCCACTTAATTATCTTTATAAGCACTGCAAAAACAAAAAAATACAAAAGCATTAAGAGGAAGCACAAATGTAAATAAACCGCAAGCACCAAATAGTTGAACATCTATGCTTATCAGTTAGCTTGCTTACTCATTGGATAAGAGGACCAAGCCCAAATCTGACAACATCGTAGTCGAAACAGAAGTCAACGGAAAGTAGATATGATCACAAGAAAATTTGATTTTTGCAGAGCAAAACTTTGTAGCATAAAAACAATGAAGCAGAATGTGAACTTCAGATACCACAGATATCAAAAGCCTTGACGGAGTTTGATGATTTCGTGGAATAAATAAATTTTTTGAGATTGATATTATTATTGTTTGTTTTAATAAATGATTTCGCAAATATTGCCATGTTGGTAAATGAAGCTAACAAAGTTTTCTAAAAACCCTTTCTTATATTATTCGCTTAGGTTTTATCTATCTTTGAAATCAATAAATGAGTTTTTCATATATATAATGTATAACAGAAAAAAAGAAGATTTTCAATCAATGGGATTTAACCACTGCGTCATTTATATATATCAGAGAATTCACATGTACACTTAACAAATCTGTTTGAGGCAATTGAGTTCAAACTCGGCACAATAACCTCAATAGCCTCAATTTGATTTGCAGCCGCTTTACTAGGATTGCAATACGCGTTGTATAATTGAAAACCTCGCCGCTGAATTGATAAGCGACTGGGGCAATGCATCCATACAATGTATAATGTATGATCTTGGCAGCCACTGCTGCTGAGATGACAGCATAGATGGGATTATCGATCGCTAAATGCATCCAATACAGATACTAATTCAAGGTTTACTGAACGGCTACTTGCAGAGATACAGAAATGGTTCAGCAATATTCGGCGTGGAAAGTGCTCACACGTCGCAAGCAGCTGACGCCCGATGGCAGCGAGGGGGAGACGAAACTGAATCGTGTCTTGGGCCTCTGGGATCTGACAGCGTTGGGCGTGGGCTCGACATTGGGCGCCGGTGTTTATGTGCTGGCTGGACAAATAGCCAAAGAGCAGGCGGGTCCATCCGTAATAATATCCTTTGCGATAGCAGCACTCGCCTCACTTCTGGCAGGTACGTGTATACAGGCCATCTCTCTCGCATAAGCAACGATTCATTGAAGTAAATGCATCTCCTGACAGGCATCTGCTATGCGGAATTCGGTGCTCGGGTACCCAAGGCGGGTTCCGCTTATGTTTACAGTTATGTGTGCATTGGGGAGTTTGTGGCCTTTGTTATTGGCTGGAATCTGATATTGGAGTACGTAATTGGCACGGCCAGCGTCTGTCGTGGCATCAGTCTCTATCTGGACACACTGCTCAATGATACGCTGAAGCAAACCTTTGCCGAGATAGCGCCAATGAATGTCAGCTTTCTAGGAAGTTACTTTGACTTTTTCGCCTTCGGCTTGGTCATTGTTTTTGGTGGTAAGTTAAACCCGTTCTAATCTCTAGTTAACTTTAGACTGTCAGTCAATCTGATATCTATCACTCTTTCTAGTGGCTCTGGCTTTTGGTGTGGAGACCTCGGCGATGGCAAACAATTTTGTCACATGCGTTAACATTTTCATTTTGGGCTTCGTCATCATTGCCGGCGCCATTAAGGGTAAGTGTTTTCAGTCTATTTTATGAATGTTCAGTTAAGGTGGAGCTTAGCTTAAGCTGTACTTGTTTTCGAGGTGTTATGTTTGCTTTATTTAAATTATTGTATATTCTTAAGAATTATTAGAAAAATTAACGGACAATTTTTCCACAGCCGATTTCAGCAATTGGACAGTGGATGAGTCGACGATTGTGGCAAATGGCACCAATATAGGCAACGGTGGGTTCTTTCCCTTTGGATTTGAGGGCACCCTTCAGGGAGCTGCCACTTGCTTCTTCGGATTTGTGGGCTTCGATTGCATTGCGACCACAGGCGAGGAGGTGCAGAATCCCCGCAAGAATATACCACGCTCCATTCTGCTATCGCTGCTGATCATTTTCCTGTGCTACTTTGGAGTGTCCACTGTGCTGACCCTGATGTTGCCCTATTACGTTCAGGACGTCAATGCTCCATTGCCTTATGCCTTTGAATATGTGGGCTGGCCGGTGGCCATGTGGATAGTAACAATTGGTGGACTGGTTGGTCTGCTGGCTAGTCTATTTGGCGCACTGTTTCCACTGCCGAGGGTTATGTACTCGATGGCACAGGATGGTTTGCTGTTTCGGTTTCTGGGCAAGATCAGCCCACGCTTTCGAGCACCTGTAACGGGCTCCATTGTGGCAGCGCTTTTCACGGCTCTCTTTGCGGGTCTGTTCGATCTGGAGCAGCTGGTTAGCCTGCTCTCCATTGGCACTCTGCTGGCCTACAGCGTGGTTGCCTTATCCATAACAATTCTACGCTACATGGAGTACTGCGAAATGGAGGAGCAACCGTCCCAAACTGTCTCCGAAACAACATCGCTGACATCGAGAAACGATCGCTTCAGCTGGAGCTCAATCTGCACCCAACTCTTCAATGTCCATCGTGTGCTGGAACCCAATTCGTTCTCCACACGAATTGTGGGCATACTAACAACCTTATTCTGTGAGTATTACTAAAGGAAATTGTGCAATTGCACCTGTTTTCCATTTCTACATTTCTTTTGCACGCAAGTAGAATATATTCTTATATTTATGATCAATAGCCTAGTCTGTTTCTATCTTTGATTCTATTCCGAAATATTTTTATTTTATAGAAACAATCGGTAAAAGATGAGTTAAAGTAAAAACCACTTTTATGTATGTACAAAATATTCCAACCAAAACTTTGACATATCTTGTTTATATGTAGGCATTTTGTTATTAAATTGAGCAACTTATATTCAAAATTATCATTTCCGATCCTCTAAGTTTATAGATAGCATCAATAGCAGAGCCATTTCTGTCAGGCTTTCTGTTTTTATGCTAACTATTCCTTCAGTTTTCAAGATGTCTTGATATGACTTGGCATACATCTGTCTTATTGATGCTGATGGATATAATTTGCTGTTTAAAGAGAATGTTAGCTTACACAGATATCCAAACGAAACTCATCAGTTATGCGTGGTGGTATATATATGTAAGATTTGGTCCAAAATCTTATAAACTCATTCATAGAAGCAATCAGTTGGTTTTTTTAATTTTATTAAAATTTAGGTTTGACTTCGGTATGCCTTAGATAGCCGTTATTTCGTTAGTTTATTTTTATTATGAGTATTATGAAAATTTCATTGAATATTTAAACTTAAATGCGAGTAAACGGACTTGGTTCTGCAAGGGTATATAAAAGTTTGACATGCCAAGGGTCAAAGTTAGCGCTTCTCTCTTGTTAAGCTTGACTCTAATTTGATTTGTGCTCTGCAGGTGTCCTCTCGCTGGGTCTTGGAGTGCTGCTCATGCAGGCTTATCCGGCCATCAGGTCCCAGAAGGCGTGGGCGTTAACTCTGCTCATCCTTCTAATAGTGCTGATGGCCGTTGTGCTCTTGCTCACCTGCTTGCAGCCACGCGAGGCGAAGAGTCGCTTGTTCCGGGTGCCCTTTGTGCCCGTGGTGCCAGCGATTAGCATCTTTATCAATATTTATCTTATGCTGCAGCTAAATAGCTGGACTTGGATACGTTTTGGTGTCTGGATGATTGTGGGTGAGTTGGCTCAGCTCTGTTTCATTTGCATGTGGTAGCCTTTGATTAATGCATGTTAACTAATAACTAATATACTAACTGTAATAGGTATACCCATATTTATTGCATGCTGGTGTCTCTATGACATCAGAGATCCAAAGAAACGAAATCCTGAACGCATTGCGTTCTACAAGGCATTGAAAATGGCAGAGCAACGACCCTTAGATACGAGTAATGGCAATGGCAACGGCAATGGCTATATTTCCAAGCAGAGCACGATTACGGGCTCAACGCAGATTGTGAGAAATTCTAGCAGCTTGGATCAGATACAGAATCTAAGCGAGGTTTTCGATGACCTGAAGGAACACAAAAATGCGAACGGCAAGATTTTTTATGTGGAGGACACAAAGAGCGAGCATTCCGCGACGACTGTAGATGAACACTCTGTGCTGGCCATGCTGGACGATGTGCTCGATGCGGAGGATACACAACAGCAACAGTTGGATCAGCAACAGATCTTTGAGCGTAACTACAGCATCGACTCGGAAATGTTGCCCAGTGTGATAGAGACAACAATTGTGGCCACTGTGCACAGCAGCAGCAGCGACGATGATGATGCCAGCAGTCAGAAATCCTTGGAGCTATACAGGATGGAGCAGTGCAAACAGGCAGCAAGTGAGATGATCAAAGAGATGTTCGACAGTGTCGCTTTCTATGAGCAACTGCAGGCGGCCAAAATAATACAGAGCACAAAAGACGAGGAATCAAATGAGCCACCACAACTGCGAGATGAACTCAAGCGAGCTGCTTCGATTGCCTCAATAGCGTCGCAGGCATCGCTTGCCTCTGTGGTCGACGATCCGTTGCATTCGGAAAAGTTCAAGAATCGACTGAGCAGTTTAATCATGAATCATGAACCCAATAGCACACCCAGGCCCAAGCGATTTGAGGAGTCAGCAAAGCTGCCGGAGACAGTCAGGAAAAAGCCTCAACTAAAGCAATCGAAAAGTGAAAGTGATGTCCGCCTACTGTTGCTGAAGGCAATTCGAGAAATGCAAACGGACAATCAAGATGCGACGACTGAAGCTGTTGCTGAGGGAAACGGTAATGCAAATGCTGATGGTAATGGTAATAAAGAGGCTGCTACTGTATCTATGGAATCAGCTTCTGGCTCCTCCCACATACCGCGACCCCCAAAATTCGATCCGGTTTTGTACAAGACCATAAACAGCATTAGTTTGCACAAGCAGCGACCCAGTTTGAACCGAGAGCTTGTTGTGGACGCCAAGAATGCGAATGTAACAGCAGTCAGCCAACAAGAACCAGAGCCAGAGCCAGAGCCTGAGTCGGAGCCGGTGCCATTCAAAGCGAAATTGGAGGCAATATTGCAACGGGGTCCCTCGCATCGAATGCAACAGCGTCCGGGAGTGGATGTGGTGATTCGCCGTCGGCCGCAATCCGTGTACATTGAGGAAGCGCCAATTGAATGAGCCGAGCGGAGGGGAGCTAAGAGCGGGGGTTGCAATTCTCAATTTTGCAAATATACTGTAAAAGTAGCGTTGCACACTCTGCAGTAATGAAATGTTGGGTAGTTGTTGTAACTATTGCAGTTGCTGTTGCTGCTCTTGTTACGGTGGAACTGTTAGTTAAATGGAGGCAATACTAGATGATAAGTGCTTAGCTTTACATTGGATTGCGCAGCAGGAAATTCGTGCAAATTCAATTGCAAATTCTGATATTACGAAGCCAGTCCATCGGGCTGAGCCATAGTGCCAATTTAGAGAAGCAAATGCAACTCGAAATCTGGTGAATCAAAAACTACTGTAGAAAGGATGAGAGAGAGAGAGAAAGAGAGTTAGAGAGAGAATGAGTGGAGGAAGAGGAATGATGATGAAAATGTAGTTAATAGAGTACGCGGCAGTTATCTCAGGGCTGGATAGAGATGCGCCGTAATTATACTATTATTTATAAATGTAATTGAATTGAACTTGGATACAGTTTAAGCTTCCTAACTTATTAAATGACCCTTAAGAAAGTTATTTTAATTTTGAAATCAAAGTAATTTTTTATCAGAGTTACAGCAACTTTTTATTTTTGGGAATGTTCGAGTTATAGACGTTCGACTAAAGAACTGAGTGAATTACTAAAGTACTGAGTCTAGAACTCTTCACCGTACTCTTAATTGAACAATTGTAGAAAAACTCTATCGAGAAATGAGTATAATAATTAAGAGGTAGTTTTCTGAATGAAATGGTATAAGCCTTGTGATATTATCCATACAATAAAAACTAAAAATTTACAACCAAGTTCCCCAAAATTTTCAACTAAAATAAATCGAAGAGTGTCCAAGTGCATTAATTGGTTTATAATCAAGTCTTCACAGGGAATATTCCAAATAAATAAATCAATCATTTTTAATCAATTATATACTTAGTGATATACTTAGCTATTAAACTATAGAATGAACCAAAAATTAGTTATTTTAACAAGATGGTATTAAATTTATTTGCGATTGCATGTGCATGCTGTTTTTCAAGTATTATAATGCAAAACTAATCCATTGAGTTCTATTTCCATATATATATAGGTCTATCCATATACTTTTTCTATGGACTACCCAATAGCTATAGGGATATGCGAAGACAACGCGCCGGTTGGAAGAAGCTCAAATATAGCGAGCACTTTTAAGAAATACATCAAAGGCGGAGCAACAGAGAATAGAACACAATCAAAACAAGATAATAAATACATAGATGTATTGTGTATGTATGTCCTAAGCCATGTTGATAAATGTGAACAATTTGTTGTTATAAATAAAAATCTAGTTGTAATTAATAAAAGTCAAATGCCTTACCTATGCAAGCCAAGAGAAATGTGGAGAGCAACTGCAGCCGCTTCCGGAGTGCAGAGAGTTGAGAGCCCAAGACGATCGTTAGTTTATTAATAACTCATGAATGGATCGTCATTGTCGTTTAATTCCCGAAGGTCTTGTCTTCTCACTGACTTTGATAAATTAATTGTTGTCGGCTGATCGTTTTAAGCAGGCAAGAGCGAGAGAGGAAGAGAGGAAGCAGCGTGTGCCAAGAGACCCATGTTCCCAATTCCATTGCTCCCTTGTCCCTTGCCTAGCATTGATTTTGATTAGACTGAAACATCCCCTGGGCCGTTCCGGGGCCCTTTCACTTTCCCTTTCACCCAACCGATTTGAGACAGCGCTGCCCTGATTTATGCGTGTCGTTTTCTGGGCATTTCTCTGGTCAGGTTGATGATGCCACAGATTCCAGATTCCAGATTTGTGTAACCACAACTGGCGACTCTTTGGCGTGGCTCTGCTTCTTACTTTTTGGGGGTTGGTCTGTATTTTTGTGCTGTGTAAGTGTAACAAATTGTAATCGTATTTGCCGGCACCGCTCCCTGACTCTACTCTATCTCTTTGTCTGGGGGGCGTGCCAGTGACTCCCCTATCCTCACCATACCCCTACCCCTGCTCCTGCTGCTGCTTTATTATTATTAACTTTGTTATGGTGCACAGTAGTCTCACAAAAGTCTCAGAAGTCTAGCTTCTCTCCCAGTCTCTACAATTCCCCTTGCTGCTGCTGGTCTGGTGGTGGGTTTCTATTCTGTTTGCTTCTGCCCCCCGTTAGCCACACTTGCTGTCCGCCTGCCCTTTATCTAGCCAAGCGTCCAAATAGTTTTATGGCATATTTATGGGCGCCAAAACTTAAAGTCATTCTCCCCGGGCTAAGACTTTAAGACACCCGCACATCCACATTCCACTCTGTGACAAATTGCGGCAACCCGAAAACTAATTAACACAGCAGAAAGCGCATTACATTCAATAAAAGAAGCAACTGCGTACCGAACAGATTTCAGATATTTCTATTCTCGAAGGACTGATTGACTAGCAGATACCCTCATCGCAAATTTTAGACATATAAGAGCTATAAGAAGATGATCATTAGTCAGATTATAAAGATCTTCTGTGTAAATTTTGGAAGACGGGTAAAAGGACATGTCTATATCGACTCGGCTAGTGATGCTGTTCAGGAATATATTATATATATTTAATGGGGTCTTAGATTCTTAGATTCTTGCACTGGATTGTAATAATTAAAATTAATAATAATAATTAAATAATTATAATAACCTTCGCAAGACTTTATAGAATATTTATGACATATTTATGGAAATCCCACCAAATGAGTTGTAGTTAAGCTTTAGAACTGAATTATATTATTAAAAATTAAAAACGTATCAATATTGACATTTTGCATACATTAAATCAATGCTCAATATGTTAGGGTATATTGTCATATGTAAGCTTTAGGGCTAAGCTCTAATAACATTCGTAGACTCTTTTTTTCTATAGTTTTAGTGATGTTTTTGTTTTAAGTTTGTTAGTTTTGCTGGCCAAAGCGGCTTTTCATAAAAATTGCGAGTTTCCATTTCCTCCACATACACGAAAAACATAATCCGCTTATGTTCGCTACAACTGCGTATTGGACTCTACTTGGTTACAAATTTCCATTTTTTGTGTGTGTATATGCTTCCTTCTCATTTTTGTCGACAAATTAAAATATGTGTGCAGTATGTGTAGCCCCTAACCAAAAGCGGAAATTGTCAACGTCGGAGCAGCTCAGGTAAATTATAAATACGAATGCGGGCTCGCATCCGTATGCAACCTGCATGCACAAATAAGGAGGAGAATCTGCTGGTCTGGATGGTGTGTCTGGTCTGTCTGCGTTTTGGCCAAAGTCAATGGGCACTCAACAAAAACATTTTGTCAAAACATAAAGGCGGCTGCTACTGTACGCAAAGTGGATCACTGGATTTGTCGTCTCTATTCAAAAAAAAAAAAAAAAGATACCAGTCAGTGTCAACAATGACAACAGCTGCACAGTTGCAGGTAGCAACTGCAATAGGAACTGGAACTGGAATTGAGATTGGACTACCGAAAAAAGGATTAGCAATTGGCTTAGCAGTTTGTTCAATCGCCAATGGCTAACGATAAATGCAACACTGAATCCAACCCATATCAAGGTCTTAGCTGCGGTCTGCCAGTGGAAGTTGCATGTGGCAAGCACCGAATGCCGTGTGTGTAGCAAAGGTGTATTTGCTGGTTGGATCTAGTTTCTGTAAGAGTTGGATTTAGCTGAATATCGATGTGATTATGTGGTTGGTTTGCTCTTTAAAGATTACCATTAAGGCTTAACTCGGTTGCTGCTGTTGTGACAAATACCTGTTGGTCGAAAGTGCCTTGAACTATTGCTTGAAGTTGAAGAGCACCAATTGGTAACTTATTGAATTATAAATACAATATTGTCTATTATTGACCACAACTTTTTTGATTGCGTTCTTAATCATGTTCTAAGTTCATAACTTATTTAATTTCCTCTCAAAATCAAGTACAATTGTTTTGCAGTTGCCCTTTCAATTCACTTGTGATTGAGAATTTCTTTTATTTTATGTAAGGTTTCCAACATAAAATAGCTGTGTACCTTCAACAGATTGTTAATCACAATTTGGCTTGAATTTCATTATAATTCGCTTGATTTCTCAGCACTTTCCTAGCAGCGTTGTGTGCCTGAACCTCAACATAATTGCTCCTTTGTCATTTGCCACAACAAGCGGCAAGAACAACAAGAACAACAAGAACAGTACAACAATAACAATGAAATCACAAGAAATAATACGCTTCTGATTTCCAACTCGACTTCAATTGATTTTTATGGCCAGTTCGTCGTCGTTTTGGCCTGTTTTCTCTCATTCTTCTCATTGTTCACTCAGCTCTCAACATTTATTTTTCCCATTTATCTTTCATTCCCTTGGCTTGACTTGTCTCCGCTTGGGTTGCCTTGGCGTTATAGTATTTTCGACAAATGGTTTGCTTGTCATAACCTTTTTAATTTTTTTCATATCTTGTATCCTAGCTGCTGCGACTGCTGCTGCCTCTACATTTTTTAAGAAGAATAATATTTACAGAGCACGCACAATAGAGCACCCAGGCACCCAGGCATCCATCCAGTAGGACTCCTACGACTTGCGCATTGTTTTCACACTGAAATTCCTTGACAATGAGCACATTATTGAGCTCAAAATGTGCAAGGGGCAGGAGAAGAAGACTCAAGCAAGCAACGGAGCAACCAACCAATTCAGATTCAATTTGCCCCATTATTTGAGGCCCATTGTTCAAGTGAAATTCTGGTCGAGGAGCAGACGCTACAATGCACTCTGCTCAGTGGCGACGAGGAGACTACTGCAGTCCAAGTTAAGTGCAATACAAAAGGGCGGCCAGATTAAGAATAGCAAAGAGATGAGCACAAGATGAGAGTTCGGCCTGCCAGGCTCATCTCTCTGTTCTCTTCTGTCCCTACCTCCCAGTTAGCCAAATGGGTAAATGTGGTCCAAAGTGCGTCAGTCATACGTACAAGAAATAGAAGAGACAAAGAGTGCGAGATAGCGATTTGGATAGATGCGAAGAGAGAATGAGAGAGAGAGAGAGAGAGAGAGAAAGAGAGAGAGAGAATTCTCAACTAAATGAATGCAATAAGTAAATAACAAAATGTCGTTAGCATTTGTGACTGACACTCACAGCAGAAGTAGCAGCAGCAGCAACAGCAGAAACTCAACCAACATCCTGGCCGTGAAGACAGAGTGAGCTGAGAAAGAGGACAATGGCAAATGGCAAATGCCTGCATTGGGTTGCTGCCGTTCTTGACGTTACTGGCTCCTATTTGCTGCGTACTTTGCACTGAATGCAGCAGCAGCAACAGCAGCAACAGCAGCAACAGCAATAACAGCAACAAAAAGCAACAACAGCAACAATCTCTCACAGCTGTCAACAGCAACAAATTGCGCGCTAAGCTGACAGTAGATTTTGCGCTATGTACAACCGCATGGCAGAAATGGGTCTACTATGATACATGGCCCATAAACTGAATACAGCCTTTGGGCATGGCGAAACCTGAATGCCCTGAGCACAGCATGTTCTGCAATAGTGATTGTGATGGTTTTGGATAAAAATTAAAGCAGTTGAAAGATGTTCAAGATATAAATGCCAAATTGATGAAAAATTATAAATTTATCAACAAATTTGAAAAATTTGGTATATTTTAATATTATTTTATTTTATTTTCTATGTTAAATTAAATTAAATTAAAAGTTATTGAAGAATCTCGCATTGATCTTAGTCAAATTTGAAGAGTTAAATGTATTCAGATAAAGCATTAATTTAAAAATAAACGATTTAAATATCAGATTGCTTAAGAAATTAATTGAATATTAGACATTGATTTGAAATACATTCAATGATTTTAATCACTTTGGTCTTATCTTAAAATGTGGCTATAACTTCGTTTAAATATAAAGTATCAATTTAACTTTAAAACATTTCTGTTCTGTTTCTCTCCCTCTCTCTCTTTATTTTAAGCAAGTTGTTAAAGCTTTGAATTCCTTTAATTTCTGTTCCCGGCTAAAATAATTTCTAATATTCTGAATCAGTACCAGTTTAAATCGTTCTCTTAAGGACTTGTTAAGCATATATCTCG